CTTCTTTAGTTTTTTCTCCCCTGGGAAGCTCTTCATCTGTCTTTTTATTCTAAATTATAACTTTCCTGGGTAGAGCATTCTTGGCTGTAGGTCCCTGTTTCCCATGACTTTGAATATTTCTTGCCAAACCCTTCTAGCCTGTCAAGTTTCTTTCAGGAAATCAGCTAACAGTCTTATGAGAATTCCACTGTAGGTAACTAACTGCTTTTCTCTTGCTGCCTTTAAGATTTTCTCTTTAACTTTTGACATTTTAAATATGATATGTCTTGGAATGGGCCTCTTTGCATCCACATTGTTTAGGACTCTCTGTGCTTCCTGGTCTTGCATGCCCATTTACTTCACCAAGTAAGGAAGTTTTCTTTCATTATTTTTTCAAATAGATTTCTAATTTCTTGCTCTGTCTCTTCTTTTTCTGGCACCCCTATGATGCAAGTGTTGGAATGCTTGAAGTTGTCTTAGAGGCTACTTATCCTTGTTTTTTTTGGATTTTTTTTCTTCTTGTTCCAACTGGTTGTTTTTTGCTTCCTTATATTCCAAATCGTTGATTTGATTCTCAGCTTCTGCCACTCTACTCTTGATTTCCTGTAAGTTGTTCTTTATTTTAATTAGTGTATCTTTCATTTCTGACTGGATCTTTTTTGAAGTCCTCATTAAGTTCCTTGAGCATCCTTACAACAAATGTTTTGAACTCTGCACTTGATAGATTGCTTATCTCCATTTTGTTATAGTTTTTTTTATGGAGTTTTGTTCTGTTCTTTCATTTGGGCCACATTTCTTTGTTTCCTCATTTTGGCTGCCTCCCTGTGTTTGTTTCTTTGTATTAGGTGGAGCTGCTTTACTCCATGTCTTGGTAGTGTGGCCTAATATAGTAGGTGTCCTATAGGGTCCAGTGGTATAGCCTCCCCTGTCACCCAAGCTGAGTACTCCAGGTGCACCCTTCATGTGGGCTGAGTAAACCCTCCTCTTGTAGTTGAGCCTTGATTGCTGTTGGCAGTTAAATGGGAACTATTTACCTAGGCCAGTCAGCTACAAAGACTGGCTATGACCAATGACCACCAATGCCTGTCCTCTGTGAAGGATCAGCTGTGCATGGGTAGGTGGTGGTGCTCTGACATGGTCTGTAGTTGTCTACTGGATACTCAGGCTCTGGGGTTTCCCAGGTGGTGCAGGCCAAAGTCAGCTCCCACCTGTGGTCTGCCTTGGGTCACCCTGCATGAGCTATAAAGCAATTTTAGATAGCTATTACTTGTGCTGGGCTTGGAGATTCCCAGGTGAAGCCAAGTTATCCTTCCAGTGCTGGGTCTGGGTCCATTTAGCAAGAAATATGGGGTCTGGAGGCTCACTGAGGCCAGTTGTTGCTTGTTTGAGAGGATTTAGGAAGTTATGAATCATGAGCCAAGACCAGCCATTCATATGGAAAAGTCACTCTTAACAGGTTGGGTGGGCTGTAAATTCGGTGGGACAGAATCTCAGGGTATCTCCAGGGTGGGGAAAACAGTGTCAGCCAGGTTGATGGAGTCTCAGATATGGCACTTGCCTGCTGGCTTTTGCTCTGTGGGGGGAGAGTTCAGAAAGGGGACAATGGCCTCTGCTTGCCTCTCTGGGGGAATGCTGTCCCCCAGCTCTTGCCTTGATGTCAGGTACTTCAGTTCCTCTCTATATGCCACTAGTGTCTTTCAAGCTGCTAACCTGGAGTGAGTCTGATTAAGTCTGTGTGTGGGATCTTTAAGAAGGACTGCTTGGGACTGCAGTTTCTTCCACCGACTCAATCCCCACTAATTTTGGCAGCCAGAAGTTATGGGGACTTTTATCTTCCTGACACTGGAACCCTGGCCTGGGGAGCCTGCTGTAGGCCTGTGACTCTTTGCTCCCGAGATATCCCTCCTAAATTTTTATCCACCACATGTGGATGTGGGATCAGCCCATTCCATGTCTCTGCCCCTCCTACAAGTCTGGATGGATGTGGCTTCTTTAATTCTGTAGTTGTCAGACTTACATTTAACTCAGTTTCTGATGGTTCTGAGTGATGGTTGTTCTATGTTTTCGTTGCAGTTTTGATGTGGTTGGGCAAGCACCTGAGCCATGTTTACCCATGCTGCCATCTTGTTGTACTTTTAAATTCCCGGAGGAATTGGGGTGGTTTTAAGAGAAAATCTTGATTATGTTTTAAAGCCACAGAAGATCAGTGTCACTGAACTTCTGAAATCTCAATATTTTTCTTGCAATGTATCTTTTCTTTTTTGCAACAGAAAACATAACAAGTAGGAAAAGCAGATTTTACTTTGAATCTTTGTACTTAAACCAATTTGGTACTGAATTATAAGCAGACCAGTTTTTCAGAGTAGAACACTATTCACAGGTCCATGAATATAAGGAAAGGCACATGAAGGGACATTTCAATTCATGAAAAAAAGTGTTGGGGTAATTCTTGTAACTACTATCTCATATCATACATGAAGTGGTGAATCCTATGTGAGTTACAGATTTAAAAATTAAAAAGTATTAAGTACATAAGATATTATAAAAGCAAATATGAAATACTTTTAAAATCTTGAGATGAAAAATATTTTTGTAAGCTTTATAAAACCTAGAAACCATAAAGAAAAATTTTGACATGTTTAAAATTTTATAAAATTATAAAATTTCTTTAGGACAGAGTATAATATTACAAACTACCTGGCTGGTGTAGCTCAGTGGATTGAGTGCGGGCCTGTGAACTAAAGGATTGAGGTTTGATTCAATTCCCAGTCAGGGTACATGCCTGGGTTGCAGGCCAGTTCCCAGCAGAGGATGCACAAAAGGCAACCATACATTGATATTTTTCTCCCTCTCTCCTTCCCTTTCCTTCTAAAGATAAATAAATAAAATCTTTTAAAAAATATTACAAACTAAAATATATCAACAAATGAGGCAAAATATTAACAAACATAAGTAAAATGTAACCTATGTAATATATTAGCATACCTATTCTTGTTCAGCATGGTTTTGAAAAAAATGACCAACATAACAGCAACACTGGTAAGGCATATCCAGGCATTTGTAGAAGAAGAAAAACAAATAATTAATAACCAATGAAAAATGCTCAAATACACTAAAATTATAGTAATGCAAATTAAAACAGGAATGAACATTTTTTATATTTAAATTGGGAAAATGTCAAATGTTTATAATGTCTAGTACATAATGTACTGAATTAAAGTAAAACAAATAACATGTGAATAGTTTTACTTAGATATGTCATGCAATTGATATTGTGTTACAACGTCTGAAGTCTGCCCTCAGTTTTTGGCTCATCGTCCCCTTGTCTTCCTCTGTAAAGACAGTCACATCACAGCTCTCTGATCGTTCTTCCATAGGCACATGTTCCTCCGCACAGCAGGACAGCTTTTCTGATTTTTAAAGGCCTACCTAATTTGATTGGGGCACCCAGGCCACCCAGATTATCCAGGGTAACTTTCCATCTCAAGATAATTTACTTAATCACATTTTCAAAGCCTCCTTCTCCATGTAAAGAAACAGGTTCCAGGTTCCAGGGATTACACATGGACGGCTCTGTTTCTGTTGGCATGAAATAGTCAAGAACCAAATAGGTCTCCCAGGTATGTCATGGGGATCTGCTCCATTAGACAAAAGGCTCCTCCACGGATCTTTCCTACGTAATCACGTACCTAGTTTTGGCTCCTGCTGAGATGGCTGAAGGGATCTGAGTCACACACAGAATCTCATCAAAGCACCTTTCTGTGACTGAATACTCCGGCTTTTTACTACTTCTGAGGTTCTAGCAAAAAGTTGTACAGCCACACTCTTAGTCATTCTCTAGAGCACACTTGCCTGATAGTGAATCTTCTAATTTTACCATCTTTTTCAACCAGAATAGGCTCAGATTTCTCCAAATTACCACGTCTTGATTTATTTTGCCTCACAATCTCACCCTCAGTTTATCTCTTTTCTCTCACATTTTACTGTAAGCAGCAAAAACAAACCAGCTGCATCATCATCATCACCTAGAAATCTTCTTAGTGTATATCCAGAAAGTTCTTTCCACATATCTACAGAAAAGGATTTGGTTATAATTTTTGTCACTGTATAATGAGAATCTTCTTCCTCTAGTTTTCTAAAACATGTTCTTATTTACTTCTGAGCCCTCGGCGGTCACACCTTTAAACCTCCATATTTGTGCTGATCAGGATGATTTTGTATTTTCTGAGACAATGACGGTTGTTGTTCTCATGTTCACCCCCCTTTCTGAGTCCTCACCAGGTCTTCAGCACCCACATCCTACACACTGCTCAATCGAGGATTTTTTAACCATTCAAGTTAAAATTCTTCCAGTCTCTTCTCTCTGCCCATAGTCGCTGCCACATTTTTAGGAATACTTTGTAGCCATAACCCCATTTTAAGAACCAAAGTCTCTATTATTTCCATATTGCTGCCATAAGAATTTACTATAAATATGCCTTAAAACAACACAATTTATCATCTTACAATAATATCAGTTAGAATTCTGAAATAACCTCACTGGGGATAAAATCCAGTTTTTAGCAGAGCTTCATTCCTTTCTGGAGGCTGTAGGGGACAATCTGCTTCCTTGATTTTTCCTGCTTCTTAAGGTCCCCCACATTCCCTCGTCCCCCCTCCATCTGCAGAGCCAGTGATATTGCACCTCTCCGACTGTTCCTCCAGAGTCACTTCTTCCTCTCTCCACAGCCAAGAAAGGCTCTCCACTTTTAAAGGCCTATGGGAGTGTACTGGGGCCATCCAGGTAATCCAGGATAATCTCCCCCATCTCAAGGTCCCTAGTTTAATCACATCTGTAAAATCCATTTGCCATGTGAGATAACAGATTACAGGTTCCAGGGATTAGGACACAGACATCTTTGAGGAGCCATCATTCTACCAACCACAACATTGGAAATTAACAATAACAACAACAACAACAACAACATACTGACATTGTAAATCATTTCTCACATCAAAAGCAAGTAAAATCTTATTCTTACTTCTTTTCCTCTTGGTCTTTTCTGAAGTAGAGCTGGTTTCAGAATCGACAGTACCTACAAAATAACAGGTGGTGGTGAGAAAACAGAAATGAATACATAAAATTTACATTTTTTGGATAATTAAAACTGCAGGAAGCTGGAGTTTATACGGGTGTTTGATTTACTGTTTCTCTTTTATTTATTTATTTTAATTTTTTTGAGAATTTTTTCATTGTAGAGTTACTGAAAACCTACTAAAATTGAAGTATGACTTCAGCATCGGCCCTGGGTCTTTTTGAAAAAGTAGCATTTTGAAAAATACTTTTACATACTTTGTACTCAGAGGTAGGAACCAGTATCAAATCCTGCTGAGATCTTATGATGATTATGAGGAAATTTGTGCAAAAGTTTGTACAAAATCGCTGTATAAACCTAAATCACTGTATAAACCTGTGACATGCTGGAAGACAGACTTCCATCAAAAATATGTCATGGGTTGCTGGATTCAAAGATGGATGCAGAAAAGGCAGAAGCTACACTTAATTCCTCCCAGCCCCAATCAACCTGAATAACCAAGCTGAACTGAAATATCATAACCAAAGATTTATAGAAGTCACACAGTGATTGGTAAGAAGGGCAGAGATGTGGAAAGGGCTAGACTCTGCATCCAGGCCCACTGCAGCAGCCAGAGGGATATTGTGGCTGCAAAACTCTTTTTCCCTAGGAGCATGAGGTCTCAACCCCACACAGGGATCCCCAACCCAGGGCAAGACAAATGGTAAGAGGAACCTGCATAGCATCTGGTGGTGAAAATCAGTGGGGATGCAGTCCACCTGGGAGACCCAGACACCGCTCTTTCAGGGATGAGCACTCCACTTATTACAGCACCAGCCTGCAGAGTGCAATGCCTGACTGCTGATGAATCCAATCTGCTGTGCTTGGGTCCTGCAGAGGGGTCTGCTGCCTACAGTCAGCATTGATTTTTGTGGTCCTCTTTTCCTGGGAAGATTCTTGGTGGAAATCCAGACAATGACCAACCTGTGCAGTTTTGGAAAGAGGGCTCATTTCCTCCTCCTTGAGCACACAACTGACACCACCTCCTACAGCATGTTGAATGACTTGGATGGTGCCATCCTGCTGAGTTCAGTCATGCAAGGGGACCAGAGAGCTTCAGAGCTGGGACTTTTAGACTGTGTCTCCTGGGAAGCTTTTGTCCAGGAACCAAATGAGTTGAGGATAGGGTGTGTGGCCCCATCACAGGGTTGGGGGAGAGCCACTTATATCTCCTGTGTGAAGTCAGCTGGTACTACACAAGGATGGGCAAGAAGTGCCCATTCTACAGGCTTGTGGGCACCACTCCTAATGGGAGACTGTTTGGATCAGCCCTGTCAAGTCCCAGATCACCTGCTCCTCAGTTCTGGGAGGGGAAGGGAGAGTGGCTGGGGCTTCAAAGGGTAAGTCCTTGGCCACTGTCTGGGACAAGGACAAAGTACTTAGTCCACTTTGTGGTTGGGCTGGCAACACCCTCACTGAGATAATCTTTCAATCTGTTGCCCTGATTCTGGGGCAGCTTAGCTTGCTCCTACAGAGGGGATGGTTGGTTGTACCCAATCTAAGCCTGCAGCAAGCCCCTCCAAGAGAAACTAGAGTTGGAGACTCTGGCAGAGACTGAGTGTTTTGGCTCTGGAGTAGTGGTCACTTTCCCCTTATTGAGTGCCTGACTGTGTGATCCTCAAGCAGGTGACCCCCTAGCCCTATCCTCCTAGCCTTGGTTGCTATTAACTACTGAGCTCATTACCTGTGAAAGAGTTGGTGCTCAGCCTGGGGCAACATTACAGTCTTTCTTCAGAAGGCTCTGGAGAAAGACCAGGCTACTTCAGGGGGAGGTGGAGTACCTGAGAGGTAAAGGCAAACCTCAGGGAACCTTAGTCCTTCTACATATCTACCCTCAGCTCTATGTTGGGGGAAGCTGATCCTTTTACACAGATTGGCCCCTCCCTTGCACACCCAGGTCCAGCAGACACAGCCACAAACAATAAACAGTGTAGTAGCTCCAGACAGGTAGCCCAAGGTCACTTACACACAAATATCTAAAATTGACCTGTACCTGAACCTTGCCCAAGGGGACCCAGAACCAGTGCAGCCCATTATGAGCTTTGGACCATGCCAGAGCTTGATCCAAGTGGCCACACAAGTGGCACACACAAGGAGATTCTGGAAGGCAACAGACTTTGCTGGGAACAACTGCTCCTCAGGGGCAGTCCTTGCACAGCATCCCCTACATGGTATTCAAGCCTTACCTTTACAGTCAGCCAGCCTGAAGGTATAACTCTACACACAAGAGGACCAACATTATTCAAGATCAACAATTGTACAACAGGATGGTGTGCATAACCCACAAAAAACATTCCTGGAGCATGGAACTCATGTAATCAGGAAGAGTATGACACAGCTCAATAAGACACCTCCATTATAAAGCCATCATAACAAGTTTGGAAGTCATAGTAGATATTCCTAAAACACAGAGCCAAAATGGGGAGACAATGAAATATGCTACAAGTGAAAGTAAAGACAAATCCCCAGAAAAAAAGAGTTAAATGAAATGGAAGCAAACAAAATACCGGATGCAGAGTTTAGAGCAATGGTTAAAGATCTTCAAGGACATTAGGGAAGAATAAATGATTTTGGTGAGAACTTAAACAAAGAGATAGTAAGCATTAGAAAGGAAATATAAACCATAAAAAAGAAGCAGTCAGAAATGAAGACTACAATATCTGAAATGAATACACTAGAAGGAACCAACAGCAGCTTAGATGAAGTAGAGGACAGAACCAGTGATTTAGAGGACAAGATAACAATAAGCATCCAAACAGTGCATTAAAAAGAAAATAAAATTTAAAAAAATGAGGAAAGGCTAACATCAAGCATAACGACATCCACATCATTGAGATACCAGAAGGAGAAAAGAGTGAGGAAGAAATAGAGAACCTGTTGAAGAAATAATGGCTGAAATCTTCCCTAACTTTGTGAAGAAAAAGTAACACAAATTCAGAAAGTACAGAGAGTACTGTTCAGATTAAACCAAAGAGGCCCACACCAAGACACATCATAATTAAAATGCCAAAGGTTAAAGACAAAGAGAGAATCTTAAAGGCCGCAAGAGAGAGACAGTTAGTTTTAGCTATCTACAAGGGAGTTCCTATAAGGCTTCTAGCTGACTTCTCAACATAAACACTTCAGGCCAAAAAAGATTGGCGTGAAATAATCAAAATAATGGAAAGCAAGGACCTGCAACAAAGACTACTCTGTCCAGCAAGGCTATCATTTAAAATTGAAGGTGAAATACAGAGCTTCCAAGACAGAAAAAGCCTAAAAGTAATTCATTATTACCAAATTAATATAGCAAGAGATGTTAAAAGGCCTTCTATAAGAAGGAATAGAAAGAAAGGAACATAGGTATAAAGAATAAAATGGCAATATGTAAGTACTTAACAATAATAACCTTAAATGTAAATGGATTAAATGCTCCAATCAAAAGACATAGAGTAGCTGAATGGATGAGAAAACTTGGCCCATATACATGCTGTCTACAAGAGACCCACCTCAGAACAAAAGATACACACAGACTGAAAATGTAGGGTTGGATCCCATTCAAATGGAAGCAAAAAACATTCCAAAATGGGGTAGCAATACTTACATCTGAAAAAGTAGACTTTAAAATAAAGGCCATAACAATAGACAAAGAAGGTCACTATGTAGCTCTAAAGGGATTGATCCAACTAGAAGATATAACCCTTGTAAACATATATGCAGCCAACATAGGAGCAACTAAATATATAAAGAAAATCTTGGAAGACATTAATGGAGAGATCACAGCAATACAATCTTAGTATGGGGCTTTAGCACCTCACTGTTATCAACTGATAGATGTGCCATACAAAAAAAAAAAGCCCTCAACAGGGCAACAACAACCTTAAACATCACACTGGATTGAATAGATTTAAGTGATATTTACAGAACACTTTATCCCAAAGCAGCAGAATATACATTCTTCTGAAGTACATATGGAATAGTCTCAAAGATAGACCACACAGTGGGACACAAAATAAATCTTAACAAATTCAAGAAAATTGAAATCATATCAAGCATCTTCTCTGACCACAGTGGTATGAAGCTAGAAATCAACTACAACTACAGCTACAACCCTCCCCCCCCCACCCCTCACAAACATTCAAACACATGGAGGTTAAAGCACATGTTATTAAATGATGAATGGGTTAACAATGAGATCAAAGAAGAAAGCTGTCCTGGGAGGGAAGTTCAGAGAACTATAGGTCTACCTCAAGAAGCAAGAAAGATCTCAAATAAACAATCTAATCCTGTACCTAAAAGAACTAGGAAGAGAACAACAAAGTCCAGAGTAAGCAGAAGAAAAGAAATAATAGCAATCAGAGCAAAAATAAAGAACATAAAGACAAAAAAACAAAAACAAAACAAAAGATCAATGAAACCACAAGCAGGATCTCTGAAAAAATAAACAAGATTGATGAGCCTTTAACCAGGCTCATCAAGAAAAACAGAGAGAGGACCCAAAGAAGAAAATTCAGAAATAATAGAGGAGAAGTGACAACTGACACCATATTGTCAGAAAATACTATGAACAACTATATGCCAATAAATTGGACAATCTGAGTGAAATGGGTAAATTCTTAGAAACATATAATCTTCCAAAATTAAATGAAGAAGAATCAGAAAACCTGAATAGACTGTTTACAATGAATGAAATTGAAGCAGTAATCAAAACGCTCCCAGCAAATAAAAGTTCTGGACCAGATGGCTTCATAAGTGAATTTTGCCAAACATTCAAGGAACTAACACCTATCCTTCTCAAACTATTACAAAAACTTCAAGAGAAGGAAAGACTTCCAAGCTCTTTTTAATAAGGCTAACATCACCCCAATTCCAAAATTAAATATAGACACTTTGTAGGCCAATATTCTTGATGAACATAGACACTAAAACCCTCAACTAAATATTAGCAAACCAAATCCTTGGGACTTATTCCAGGGATGCAA